AGCAAAAAACAGAATTACCAGAAGATGACTAAACAGTTAATAAATAATTATTAATAATAGCCAATTATTTATAGTGAATAGGAATAGAAGTAAAAAAAATTGGACAATATTATATTGTATTATACAATAAATAATAATAAAAAAATTAAAAATTAAAACTGATAGGGACGCAAATGCTAATTTAAAGTCATTAGGTTTCATTACCAATTTATACATTCTTCTAACAAATGAACCTTTCCAAGATTCAAATTGTTCTCATAAATATTATTATATTATTTAATAATAAGATTCATTATTAATACTACTATATAGTTGTAATCACGAAATATTGTAACTAATAAATTTTAAATTTTAAAATGAAATATTTATCAGTTTCAATTCAACATTTTACTTCTCGAGACTTTTCTTTTTATATTCCAAACTAGATTATAGCCATCCAAAAAATCAACACTACAATTTGTAAGATTTGATTTTCTCATGAAGTTTTCTCCAGATATCCCATTGAAGGGATAAAACCTTTCAATATAACTTTCAACTTGTTAAAATCATTCTTATCCCACTCTGAAATATCTTTTTCTAATGTTTCATCCCCTCACTCAATGACGTAACCCCAAATATCAATTTCATTTAAGTTAAATAAACCAACATGTAGGTATGTGAAAATCAAATTTGTGTCAATTTGAATACAAATTCTGATTGGCTAATTTGAATTTCACGCGCGTGAATTTTCAAATTCACGCACAACAGATACAAGCTGAAGTCATTAGATTTTAAAAATATTCATTACAATAATCTTGAAATAAATTAAACGGTTGATATTTTGATGAAATTTCTTCAAGATAAAATTTGTTAATCCATTCTGTCTCGTTTCTCTTATGATTAATGATTTGTAAATTGTCAATTGACTTGTTAAAATTTAACTCATCGCATGCTTCAAGAAGTTCTAAAATTTCATTTACATATAAGTTATCTATATTAATAATTAATTCCATTGTACATACATATCTTTTAAAAATATAAATGATAATTTTAAAAATTATTGCTATATATAATCCGTCTATGAATCGGTGAAGGAAAATTTCGCTATTAAATATATTAACAAGTTTTAATAAACTGGTACTCTCCAACTTTAAAACTTTTTTTTTGATATTCTTAAAAAAAAATGTATAAATATGTTCTTGACATTTGTTTTCATAACTCAAAATAAAAAAATATTATTTTTATAGTACCATAGTACCATTTTTTTATACAAAATCGTCAATTAGCGAAGAATCTTGATTAGAACTTATTAGGTTGTTAAATAAGAGTGCAATATTTTAGACATTTTGAAGTTTTATTTTTTATTATTAATAATAACAATTAAGTTTAAAATTTATACATGTAAAATCAATAATTTTTCGTTACCAATTTATACACTTCACACTCTTCTAACAAATGAACCTTCTTATTGTTATTTTTAAGACTTAAATTATTCTCATAAATATTATTGGGACCATAAAAACAATAAGGTTCGTTACTATTACTCTTATATAGTATTAATTCGTTAAAATTCACGGAACTTTGATTAAATGTAATAT